AGATCCCTTGAAACATATGCTGTGCAGATGTTTCTTTCCTGCAGCGACTGTGTCAAGCAGCAAGGATGGACCGGCTTCGGGCAAGAGAGAAAGAAACACTGACTGGTTGCCTCCTGACTGCACCCTGACTGGGACTAAACCTGCAACCTGAGCATGTGCCCCGACTGGGAATTGAACCAAACCTGAGACCCCTTGGTGCACGGATGACGCTCAACCAACTAAGCCACACCGGCCAGGGCAACATGCACATTTCTGTTAACTGGTCTCTAAGTTATGGAATTAACATTTGGACATTTGAAATTTGCTTGTTTTTCAATCTTTTCTGAGGTGATTTTGCAGTTTGAGATTGTCACCTTTGATGGTAAAAGAATGGCTCAGAGGCTAGAGTAATCGTGGACTTTAGTATAACTATGACGGGGTAACCAGTGTATATTGAGAAGATTGACTAGCTATAGTAGGAGGAAATTGTGAAGGAATGGGAAGTATTTTGGATTGATAGGGAGTTTTTAATTCATTTAAACAAAAGATACATTTTGAGTGCCTGTTCTTTGTTGGTGAGTACACAGATTAATATATAGGTGCTTCGCCCTGACCGGTTTGGCTCAGTGGATAGAGCATCAGCCTGCGGACTCAAGGGTCCCAGGTTCGATTCCAGTCAAGGGCATGTACCGTGGTTGCGGGCACATCCCCAGTGGGGAGTGTGCAGGAGGCAGCTGATAGATGTTTCTCTCTCATCGATGTTTCTAACTCTCTATCCCTCTCCTTTCCTCTCTGTAAAAAATCAATAAAATATATTTAAAAAAAAAAAAAAGATATAGGTGCTTCAAGGTGTTCAAGCTAGGAATAGGCAGAGTATTAAGTGCTGTGATGGGGGCTGGGGAGGTGGGGTTTATTATGGGAGCCATTGCAGTTTTTTGTGTGAGGGAGTGAAGTGGTAGATTAGGATACAAGTCTGGCCAACTTAGAATGTCAAGGAGGAAGACTAAAGGCAAAGATTCTAGTTAAGAAGCTGCTATAGTCCTAGCTTGTTTGGCATAGTGGATAGAGCATTGGCCTGTGGACTGAAGGGTCCTGGGTTCGATTCCCAGTAGGGAGCGTGCAGGGAGGCAGCTGGTCAATGATTCTCTCTCATCATTGATGTTTCTATCTCCCTCTCTTTTTGTCTCTGAAATTAATAAAAATACATTTAAAAATACATATTTCCACAAGAAGTTGTGGAATCTTGTATGCCATTTAGAAGCAAGGAAACTTATTCACCATGTAGGATTATTTAAATTGTAGTTATTCTAGCCCTAGCATTCAAGTACAGTTTTGTTATAGCATGTTTTTTAAATAATGTGAACTTGTTCACCAATAATTGCTAAATAGGGCAGTGATGTTAGTATAACCCAGAAGTCCCATTGGTTGATATGCAGTTTTCCCCAACACATTAACACCCATTTCCTACAGTTTTATAATAGTTAACTGGAGGAATACATGCATTTATGTCAGAAATAAGAAGCTGTGTCATATATTGATAGGATCGCTCAGGGGTAGAAACAGGAAGTTACTGCAGTAATCTGGGAAATAGGAAGTAGGTGGAGGCTTGGACCAAACTAGGCCATAATGAACATTATGAAAGCCTACCTTCCTAGAAAAACACATGTACACAGGAGGTGTGCACAAGAATGTTTGTTGAAGCATTGCTTTAATAGTGAATAACTAGGCCCTGTCCTGGTAGCTCAGTTGGTGAGAGCATTGTCCTAATACGCCAAGGTTGCAGGTTCAATCTCTGGTCAGGGCACTTATAAGAAGCAACCAGTGAATGCATGGATGAGTGGAACAACAGATCAATGTTTGTCTCTCAAATCAATTTAAAAAAATTTTTTTGAAGTGAATGACTAGAATACCCCATCAATAGATTGGATAAACTACGCAGTTTGAATTAAGTTACTAGCCAAAGAGAAATGTCATATATACAGATGAATATGAGTCGAGTTATATAAGCTAGAGATACAAACTTGGCAGTCATTAGGATATAGATGCTGCTATAAGGCCACAGGACTGGATAAAATTACCAAGGCAGTAAGTATAAATAGAAAAGAGCTCAGAGAAGTGAGCCCTGGGAGACTATCATGTAGTTTGGGGAAAGGAGGAAGAACTATCTAAAGAAACTTGAGAAAATGATTTTCTGAAACAAGTGTTTTCAGGAGACAGAAATCAATTGTATCAAATACTGATAGGAAGGATGAGAGTTCCATTTAACAACATGGAAATTCTTGGCAAGAGTTTCAGTGGAATGTTGGAATTGAAGGCCTGATTAGAATGCTTTTAGAGAAATTGGGAAGAGGAAAATTGAAGAACTTCAAACTCCCACCACCACATCTACTTACCTAACTCTTCTTGTGCCAATATGTTACTTTTTCTCCTGTTGCTATGAATGAGCTGTCTATGCCTCTGGTTGAAGCCAACCCCTACCGTTGTGTATTTGATTCTGTCTTCACTAAATCTCCCCTTCCTCTCCTACATCATCAGTTATTTTCTTTCTACTGCACCATTCTGGTCAGCATATAAACATGCTGATATCTTTCCCATTAAAAAAAAATCTCTTGACCCAACTTTCTCCTTCAGCTACTGCCCACATTTTCTTCCCTTTACAGAAAAATTCTTTGAAAGAACTGTTCAGGTGCAGGCATGGAATAAGCAGATTTAATCAAGTTGTGGTTAAGCCATGTGAGGATGATGAAGAGATAAAGAAACAAGGAAGTTAAAATGGTATGCAAGTGTGTAATTTAAGCTGCTTAAGCGTGGGAAGCCGCCTCTAGTCTTCTCTAGCAGAGAGGTGTGGACAAGGAGCCAGGAAGGCTGGTGACCCTTGAAGCCCTGGCAAAGGTCAGAGCTATGCACCCACTGTTTAGTCCAGACAATGGTAGCTGAAAGAAATTCCCCACCAGAGTCATGTAAATCCTTACTGATAAGATATTCTGTCTTTTACTGGAACTTGCCTGCCTAAGGGCTATGGGTGGATCCCAAACTGAATAAAAAGATGGCGAGGCCTGAGCACAAGCGGAGTCCATCCTCTTGGGATGGACTCTCGCCTGGCCCCCCAATTTCCAAATTATCTCTTGTCTCGTCTCTTTCATTTGTGTGCGGCTCCTCTTCCAGATCCTGAACCCGGGACGTGGGGGAACATACACACTTGAGAGAACACTTGAGAGGAGTGAGATGTGAAAAGGGGGTGGTAGCAATGAACAAAAGCTCCCCATGAAGGTCAAGGAATCATTGGAAATAGTGTCCTCAAGCTGGAAAGAGGTGTTAGTGTTGGAGAGTGGGGTGTTGAGATTATAGAAGAGTCTGAGTTATTGCTAATGACAAATTCAAGGTAATGACCAAAGTTGTAGCTGAAACAGAATAGGAAAAACTATTGAGTCTTTCAGTTCAGCCGACATACTGAGAGGCAAGACACTGTAAGCATCATCTGTATGGGCATTGAAATCACAAGAAATATACTGGAGTAGTATTGTAGAGAGAGTAAGACAGGAACTAAGTTCTTAAAGGAGCAATGGGGAATTGGGACTGTACAGTAGATAACTGCAGTAAGAAGTACCCCGGTAGCAGATGCCATAACTGATGGCATGTTTTTTATAGGGAGAATTCAGGCCTAGTATTGCCAGATATTTTGCAAGAGGAAACTGGATTTTTATGTGAAAAAGACTTAAAATATTAGCTGTGTGTGTGTGTGTGTGTTGTTTTTAAATACTGTGCAGGCCAAATAAACTGTGTCATGCTTTGGCTGGTTTGGCCCAGTGGATAAAAAAGCACAGGCTCACAAATTGAAGGGACCTGGGTTTGATTTCTGTCAGAGGCATGTAACTAGGTTGCAGGCTCCCTCCCCAGCTCACATTGATGTTTCTGTCTCGACCTCTCCCTTCCACTCTCTAAAAATCAATGGAAAAAGATCCTTGGGTGAGGATTAACAACAAAACAACGTGTCAGAGACCGAATTTAGCCATTGTCACAATTTTATGAACTCTGCTGTTAAAATAGAAACTACTGCCCTAACTGGTTTGGCTCAGTGGATAGAGCGTCGGCCTGCAGACTGAAGGGTCCTAGGTTCAATTCCAGTCAAGGGCATGTACCTTGGTTACCGGCAAATCCCCAGTAGGGGGTGTGTAGGAGGCAGCTGATCGATGTTTCCTTCACATCGATGTTTCTAACTCTCTATCCCTCTCCCTTCTTCTCTGTAAAAAAAAAAAAAAAAAAAATCAATGAAATATATTAAAACAATAAAATAAAAAATAAAATAGAAACTACTAAGGTGCCCTGGCCAGCTTGGCTCAGTGGATAGAGCGTTGTCCTGCGGACTGAAGGGTCCCAGGTTCGATTCCAGCCAAGGGCACATGCCTGCGTTGCGGGCTTGATCCCCGGTAGGGGGCGTGCAGGAGGCAGCCGATCAGTGTTTCTCATCATTGATGTTTCTATCTCTTTCTCCTCCCTTCCTCTCTGAAATCAATAAAGAAATATATTTTAAAAAAACAAACAAAAAAACTAAGGTGTGAGTCCACGGTTGTCAAACTGGCTGGCTGGCTGCCTCGCCATAGTTCAGTCTGCAGGTGTAAAGAGGGACTGTACAAGCTGATCACCAAGCAGCACTTGAAGTACCTGGCAGTTTGTCACTTGCCTAATTGATTACTGCTCAAACAGATTTTATTTCACCCCATATTTGTTTACTTCAGTTCTAACCCTGATAATGGAATTGCCTTTGAAGAGAAACACACCTAACCTTTTATGGTCAGAACTTCCATTAAAGTAGACCTCATACAATAAAGGAAATAGGGGAAATTTTGAAGGTTCTTTAAGCCTTAAAAAAAAAAAAAAAAAGGCTAGTTAATTCCTAAACAAATTTTAATGTTATAAAGTATTTAATGTTTCTTCAAAATCTTCATTTTCCTTTAGTTATATTGATGACTGAGAATATTTTTTGTATTAAAGTAGAAGTCCTCAAGATGGTGTTTGACTGTATTTGAACTTGGGCAGGGCCGCAACACTCCCTAGACTTAGTTTCCTTATCTGTAAAACAGATTAAAAATACATGCCCTACCTACTTTGATTAGGATCAAATGAGAGTGTGAAAAGGTTACATCTTGACTTTGTATGGGTGCTTTGTGTCATTATACAGCATACTGCTAAAGAATAACAACTTGCCTAAAGCTAGTGAGCCGCTCTGTTTAGAGAAAATAGTTTAGATTAGAATATGTTTAAAATTTAGGAAACCCTGGGAATATGAGTGGGTATATAATCTGCTTCCAAAAGCAACTTTCCTATTGAAAGATGACACTGGGTATCACTGTGTGAGGTACTGGCTGAAAAGTATCCTCTCCAGGTCTGAGAGCATGACTAGTACTGTGGTTAAAAATCCTGTTCATTCGGGAGACACTTGATATACACACTTTCTTTGGGCCTCCCATCACCTTCCCTTCCTTTCTCACCCTGTACTCATTTTTTTTCCTCACCAAAATGAACAATTATCACTTGATTTATAGTTAATGTAGTGAGTCTCTGCTAGCAGCATTTAATACACACTCAAAAGAACAAGTCTTAACTGAGAAATACAGGATGCCTCATTTTCATAGTAATTTTTTAAGTCCCAGTGATGAAAACTAAGGCAGCTTCCTCAAAGGAAGTGACATTGATGAATCCAGTGCAGCCAGTGTGCTGAATCTGAGGAGACAAAGTCTTTATCACGTCCAACTAGACTGTCTTGTGACTTAGTCTGAGTCTTTTGGAATAGTTACTCCTTCTTGTTAGTTGTATGGTTGTTATACAGCCATGGAAGGAACAAGCTGAATGTCAAAATCATCAACAATATACCTGGAAGATAAAACACAATAAAATAAAAACAAATCTCTAAAATTCATAATCAACAAGTAGGTATAACTTAAGATTATATGTACAATTATATACCTAGAGATTGGAAAGCAATGTTTAAAAGAATTAGCTACATCAATTATACATAAAATGTAGATCGTTTCTAAACCTAATATTCTCGCATTATTCTTCTTCAACTATGAACCCTTAAAAACAATATGTACTTGGTAAAACCAGTAAGATCTAAACATAGAGGATAAACCAAACCTAAATAGTTGGAGTTCTAGTTCTGACTCCATTACTGACTTGCTGAGCGAGAACCTCTGGACTTGGGTCTCCATTTGCTCTTTAAAATGGCAACACTGTCCCCCATATTCTCGAGTAGTGCTTTTCAACCTTTTTCATCTCATGGCACACATAAACTAATTACTAAAATTCTGCAGTCACATATAAAAATTCTGGCAGCACACCTGTTGAAAATTGCTGCCCTAGCCCTGGCCAGGTGGCTCAGTAGTTGGAGTATCACCCCTTACACCTAAAGGTTGCCAGTTCAATTTCCAGTCAGGGCCTAGGTTGCACCGGTCATGTACGGGAGGCAGCGATCAATGTTTCTCTCACATTGATCTCTCTCTCTAAAAATCAATGGGTGGGTGGTGGTGGGGGTGTTCACTTCCTCAGATGAGGATTAGAAAAAAAAGAAAGAAAATCGCTGCCCTAAGGATGTTCTGGGAAAATAAAACAACTGAAAGCACTCTTGAGTTTTCACTTGGAATGATCAAAAAAGAACACTATGTTATATTACTTTATCTCTTCTCATTTTTTCATCAAATCTTAACCGTTAATAGCTTTTAAAGCTGTATCAAGCAAAATATCTAGAACAAAATTTCGGTTAATGTTGAAAGTTTAAATCTTAAATATGAAAAAAAAATGACATAATAGTAAATCTTCATTTTGAGGACATACCAGGCAAATCTAGCATGTAGGTCCTGGTTGATTTTTCAGTGAGGAACAGGGTTAGAGTAGAGTGCTCAAATTACTGCCTTGAAAGGGAAGTCTCCAATAGTTAATATGTTTTATCTTAACATACTTAGGTCTAAAGCTCTAGGTCAGTTTTAACTAAGATTAAGAATGAGTGTTTGTCACATCCAGATTTGATATTATATTACTCTTATTTGGTAACAACAGGAAACCTTAAGGTTTAATTAGCATTTGGATAGCTTAACATATTTTTAAAAAGATGAGTCTGTTTTGCAACCAAAGGCTTGAAATGAAAAAAATGTCAGAAGAATCCCTAGGTTATGATCCACCAAATCCGGCATTTTCTTTATAAAGTCAGAGCTAGAAAATAAGACATCACATGGAAAACTTTTTTCTAAAATGGAATTCCCATTTCATATAAGCAAATGTAATTTTCATTCTATGATATGTGTAAATTAGAGAAATAATTTTATATCTAGTCTTATAATCACATTTATAACATTTTAAATTAATTTTGGGGAGATGGCAGGGGGCATTAAAGGAATTACAATATCCGCTATGAAGAGAAACAAGAACTAGGCCTGTGGTTTTCAAGAACAGCTTGCTCCTTGCTTGGTCAAAAAAGAAAAGAAAAGAAGATAGCTGTCTGGGCATTGCTGTCCATTTCACTCCATGGCATTGCCTCATGTAGCTTTATGGGGTTTTGCTTGTTTTGACTCCTTATCTTACTTAGCTCTTTGAATGACTTTTGTAAAAATATAATTTCTTATATTTCCTATCCCTCTTTGACTTTAATTGTGACCTTATTTCATTTGAGACCATATTTTTCCCTCCAATGGGAATGTAACTTCAGTGTATGACAATATTCATTGTAAGCTGAAATTCAGTACAGTGGGGCCTTGACTTACGAGTTTAATTTGTTCCGTGACGGAGCTCGTAACTCAAATTACTCGTATGTCAAATCAAAAAGTGAACGAGTGAGACACGTGATGCTGGGCTGATGTTGTGGCGTTCACTGTGACGTTCGCTGCGCCAACTAGCGGTGGGGTATCTGAAGCTGGCTCATAACCCGAATTTTAGCTCACAACTCAAAGCAAAAAATCGGCCGAGAGACTGCTCGTATCTCGAAAAACTCGTTAGTCGGGACACTCGTAAGTCAAGGCCCCACTGTATTCTAAAAACTGCCATATTTTCACACCTCTTATCCATATATATATATTGAAGGATTCCTGTATTGTTTCTCATTCATAAATCTCTTAAAGAAATAGTATAGGGACAGCCCTAGCTGGTTTGGCTCAGTGGAAAAAGCATCAGCCTGCGGACTGAAGGCGGACTGAAGGGTCCCAGGTTCAACTCCAAGGTCAAGGGCACGTTCCCGGGTTGTGGGCTTGATCCCCAGTAGGGGTCCTGCAGGAGGCAGCTGACCAATGATTATCTCTAATCATGGATGTTTCCGTCTCTCCCACTCTCCCTTCTTCTCTGACCTCAATAAAATATATATATATAGAAATATAGGAACATGCCTCCTTAAACCAAAAACGACAACAGGAATTTTTATGTTGGGTCTATTTAGAAAAAAGGAGGTCTTTACGCCAACTAAGAATCTTTGCTTATTTTCAACAAGCTAAGTAGGGCCATACATAATTGCATAAAAGTTGATTCTAATTCCAGTTTTAAAAGATTCCTTAAATAGGAAGCAAAGGAATGGATAAAAGTATATTTGTATTTTGTTTGGTTTGTTTTTGGATAAGTGGTTCTTTAAAGTGCTTTGGTAATGGCCATATACAACATTACCTCCTTGTTTGGACTACAATAACAGGAAGAGAATATATCCTTTTTCCTTTCCTGCTACTCGCTAGTTTGTATACTGTACTTTCTAAAGGGGCAGAGATGATAGTTTCTTTTATTTGTCATGAGATTTTTCCCCCAGTATGTTCTTCAAGAAGAAATTATGGAGTGATTTGGACCTGTGTTTAAAGTAAAATGTCAGGGTCCTTTTACAGAGAGTGTCATTACTACTGATTTCTTATCAAATTCTTCTGGAAAGGCCTACTTTTTAGCATTCTTTCAAGTAATGCGTGAAACAATTCCTTAGTATCATGGGCCTATTATTAACATCATATTTGGGATGCATTAAACAAATATGTATATAATGTTAATAATATATGTTGTTTTCAAATAAGACATATTAGAAATTTTTCCACATGAAAACTATCGCTAGACCTGTACAATTAGTGACCTTTTTAACTTCTTAAAAATAAAAAATAGAGAAAATTTATCTTTAAAGCATTTATTATTGGAAAACTAGCAATCTGTTGAACTAAAAAATAAGCACCAATATTAGCATTTTAAAATGCAGGTTTTCTCTGATATTCTACATGTCTAGACCTGCATATTAACATAACAGATACTACATAAAGGAATGGGAGGTAAATGGCAGGAGTAACGTGTGAGGGCTGTTCAAACCTGTGCCCTTGTTCCCTTTAAGGAAAACAAACGGAGCCGAGCAATAAGAAACAAACTGCTAACTGTAGATAAAAATAAGGATGAACTAATAAAAAGCCAGGTGTCCTCATACTCACTCACAGTTACGGATTATAATCAAGCTTAGAACAAATGACTAATCAGTAACATGTAAAGAAGTGCATATTATCACTACAGTTACTTTATACCTTTTTGTGTTATTTGGCCCATCTGTATAGAGGAGTTTTATATATCTTCTGATTTAATAGAAGTAACAGTAATGAATCTTGTGGATTTTAAAGCTGTGCTCATTACAGGTACACATTGTTATATAAAATGCTTTTCTGCAAAATGAGTCAAATGAACTAATAGTATTTTATCTGGAGTTCACAAATTTGAAAAAACTAATTTCTTTAGTAAAAAAAATAAGTTTTTAATGAAATTAATCACTCCTCATTCTTTTGCCCTCATATCTGAGAGTTTTTTGTTAAGTGGTATCATACTTGTAACTGACTATCCTTAACTAGATAATTTTGCTTCTTTGAAGATAAAAACAGTTTTAAAGGATACTGCACAAGATAAACTATTATTTTAGGCATGTTAACTATCCTTTTTATTTTCTTTTTTGTGCCTTCTCTGGCTTTAGAAATTGATGTGCTACAGTGATATTCCATACCATATTTCAAGATAAATTGGTCTTTCAATCATATTAAATAAAAACATGCTTACCTAAAGAAGGAGCCAGCCAATATACTATAAAAAATTGAAGGAAATCTTCATCGAAACACTTGAAATGTAGTGAAAGTGCCAAAGCTGGATTAAATATAGCTCCTGTTAGACTTCCTCCTGTAATACATTTTAAGCAGAGTGATACCAAACCATGTATCTTACATTTTCTTGTAACTGAAAATAAAGGTGTTATTAAATCTAACTTTTGTTTTACATAGTTAAGGACAGTCACCCTTTGGTATCTGTGGGGGATTGGTTCCAGGAGCCCCTGCGGATACCAAAATCCATAATTGTCCAAGTCCCTTATATAAAATGGCATAGTAGTTGCACATATATATACACATCTCCCCTATACTTTAAGTCATCTCAAGATTACTTATAATACCTAATACAATGTAAATGCTATATAAATAGTTGTTTATTATATAGGGAATAATGACAACAAAAAAGTGCATACAGTCAGTATAGACACAATTATCATAGTCCTAGCTACATAGTACATATCAGCAACAACATAATTTTTTAAGAATGTTTTTGATCCATGGTTGGTTGAATCTGTGGATTTGGAACTCATAGATTCAGAACCTGTGGGGTTCCAAATACAGGAGCCGATTGCATTCTTATTCTATGATCTTTCTTTGTAGAATCACTTGTCTATATAAAAATAGCTTATAGATTATAATATGCCAGATGCAAAAAAAACCCAACAGGTTATTAAGAAAGTTAATCCAGCCCTGGCTTGCATGGTTCAGTGATTAGAGCATCAGTCTGTGCACCAGAGGTCCAATTCCCAGTCAAGGGCACCTACCTGGGTTGCAGGTTTGATCCCCACCCCTGGTCAGGCATGTGTAAGAGGCAATCAGTTGATGTGTTTCTCTTACATTGATGTTTCTTTCTCCTCTCTCTTTCCCTGTCTCCCCCTTCCCTCCCTTCCACTCTAAAAATCAATGGAAGAATATCCTCACTCTTCAGGTGAGGATAAAAAAGAAGAGGAAAAGAGTGTTAATCCAGTGCTTTTCCTATATATTATTGTAAAATGTACATTCAGAATGAATCTGCTCTATTGCTGTTCCTATAAGGTTTTATAAAACAGGAGATTTGGCTGTTTTTAATTTAAATGAATAAATAATAAAAATAAAATGAAAATACATTAAAAAATGGATTCAGTACCTCAGGTTTCTCTTGGACATAGCATACCTTTGTGTTGAAAACAAAAAGTAAAATGGACCAAAGCATTATCATTAACTCCATTTTTACTTGTCAAGAGAGCCCTAAAGAAGTAACGGAATGGTATGTAAATTATACCTCAGTAAAGTGGCTACAAAAATTTTTTTGCCAAGAAGTAACTGAGTAGTCATGAACAATAAGCACAAATCCTGTCAACTGCTTTTCAGGACTCATGGTCTAGCTAGCCCTACATGCCCAGTCATAAGAAAACAGCTAAGTACATTAGTTTATTGTTAATTTGGAATACCATTCAATATTTGGAAATAATGAGAGATCTCCAAGATATATCCTTACAACCACCACCAAAAAAAGCAAACCCAGAAAGTAAGGTATGAAACTTTTTATGTTAACACAAACACACATAGGGTCTTATCTATATATATATATATATATATATATATATATATATATATATATATATATATAATAAATGGACAGGAAAAAAAGTTTGAAAGGACACACAACACATGCACAGAGGATTGCCCTGGAGGAAAGAGTACACAGAGAAGGGCAGGGGATAGGCATGAGGATGACAGTCAAAAGTCACTTTTAGTCCCACTGGTAGTGTCAGTTTTTTTTTTTACAAAAAGAACACATGTATTACTTGTGTAATTAAATATGAATTATTTAAAAAGTAAGAAATCATGCACCAGGCATAGAACTAACAGAAAATGGCTTCGAAAAACAAGCTACCTATCATTGGCATTTGAAAGGGAGAAATCTTAACATCTTGAAGAATAGGTATCAGTGGGGAGATCTGGCCAGCTGCTGTGAAGAAAGAGACTTGGAGGACAGCATGAACTGAGTGAAGTCACCACAGTGAAAAGCTAAGTCTCAAATTCTAGGCACTAATGTTTCTCAGCACTCCTAAAGGGAATCACATTCTCTGACAGCATGACACTCCTAAAATCCCATCAGACTCATGTATAATCCAGAATGTCCGTGAACTAATTTACAGTGGACTAGCCCTTTCTAGTGACCAGAATATTAGTAGCAGGTACTATGCTAAGAACTTGCATACATTACTCTATTCCTCACAATTGATATAGATAGTAGTATTCTTCATTTTAAAAATGAGGAAAAACCCAAATTAAGTATCTCTCCTAAGGAAACAGTCCAACTCCTCTTAACCATTCTATTATAACTAGCATAATATAAAATGTCTTGAGCCCAGCTGGTATGGCTCAGTGGTTGAGTGTCGAAGTATGAACCAAGAGGTCAGGGTTCAATTCCCTGTCAGGGCACATGCCCAGGTTGTGGGCTCGATCCCCAGTGTGGGGTGTGCAGGAGGCAGCCAATCAATCAATGATTCTCTCTCATCATTGATGTTTCCCTTCTTGCTGAAATAAAAATACATACTTTTAAAAATGTCTTGAACTTTTATTTGAACTTATTTTTCATCTTAAAATTAGCACCTGTTTCAGATGGTTATTGTATTAAAAATGAAAACATGTAAAAAGCTTAATTCCCTTCTCCACTGACAAAAATCTTACGTATATTCATCATGAAAAACTCCTGAATTAATAAAGTAAAAATCCTACAATTTCTTCAGATAATTTATTGTGCTTATTTTGAAAGTCCTTAGACATTACATATGGAATACCCATATATATATTATTTCTTTCTGTATGATTTTAAAAAAGTGAATAGAGTATTTGCCGATTCACTCATTCTAAAAATCCTTACTATTTATTTTGTAGCAGGTGACACCACGCTAAGTCATGGTTATATGTTATAATGAATCAATTTTAGTCTCTTTACTCATAAAGCTTACTGTCTAGTGAAGGAAAACAAACATTATATCAGAAAACAAGTGTATAAAAATTCTACAAAGGAAATGAACTGGGGGCTGTAGTAAAGACAACTTAGATGTATAAAATAATTTTTTTCAACATCAAATTAATTTAAAAAATGAATGCAGTCCTCTCTTACTCTGTTCAGTGAGCTAAAATTTCCCATATCTAAGTTAGGGAAGATTTGCTTGAAATTTGCGTAATTTTATAGCTTTAACATGCTAAAAGGTCACACAGCTTCTTCCCCCCCCTCCCCCCACCTTTTCCCCCCTCTTAATTTGGGAAACCAATTAAGTACATAAGTGGTAATGACTTCAGTGGCCTCAATTTGTGCATCAAAGTGCAGGGTGCTAAATCAATAAATACACAATCAGACACTTGGCACTGGCTATCCAAGGAGCCTGTGGCTACAGTGCTGGTCAGTTATGTTCTGTCTTAAAATACGTAATCAGCTGTTTTAACATGACCTGTATTGGTGGTGAATTCTGATTACCCTCAACTGTGTCCCAACTGTGGCAAAACATTTTGCAAGGGATGACCCTGTTTATATATGGAGGATGTTTCTGCTTTAGCTAAAACCTAAAACTTTAATAAGCAACTATTCACCAATTCCTCAAATATGCATTATATCCTGCCCTCTTGCCTATACCATTTATTTCCATCTGTGTCTAAAAAAGAATGGTACTAGATCTAAAGGAAGGGAAACATTCGTGGTGTTCATTTTACCCTAGGAGGGCAAGCATGTGTTTAGTAGGAGTCCTCAGCTCAAGGTTTGCTTCTACTCATATTTTAATTTTAATGGGAAGAAGATAAACTCTTACTACATATTTCCTTTCCTCCAAAACATTTTATAATTCAGATATAGTCCCAATGAAGATGTTTTGTTGTAATCTTTTAAAATGACACATTTCATCATTAAACTTTTCTTTTTGCATCTGATATCTGTCAAGGTAAACAAATGGTTTACAAGAAATCAGATTTCTCTCAAGAGTTATTTGTTTTTAAACCTTTAATTTCAAGCAAGTTTTAATTTTTTAATATTTTTATTGACTTCAGAGAGGAAGGGAGAGGAAGAGAGATAGAAACATCGATGAGAGAGAACCATTGATCAGCTGCCTCCTGCATGCTCCCTACTGGGGGTTGAGCTCACAACCCGGGCATGTGCCCTTGACTGGAATCGAACCTGGGACCCTTCAGTTCCAGGCTGATGCTCTATCCACTGAGCCAAACCAGTGAGGGCCAAGTTTTACTTTTAAAGCATTTTTCTTGATAAGTCACTTAAAAGTTCATTTATGCCCTAATAGGTTTGGCTCAGTGGATAGAGCGTCGGCCTGCGGACTTAAGGGTCCCAGGTTCGATTCCAGTCAAGGGCATGTACCTTGGTTGCGGGCACATCCCCAGTAGGGGCTGTGCAGGAGGCAGCTGATGGATGTTTCTAACTCTCCATCCCTCTCCCTACCTCTCTGTAAAAAATCAACAAAATATATTTAATAAATAAATAAATAAAAGTTAATTTATTACTCAAGATGAATTATGAAGGAAATAAATTACTTTTAAGTAATTTTTCAGGAAAAGAACTAAGAAATAGAACTGAACTGAACTGTACTTGCCACTCTTACTACTAACCAATCATGTAGCTTTAAATTGGAAGGAACTTTTTAAGCCCAGGATCATTTTTCAGTGAGTGTCAGAAAGGATCTATACCAGGTTGGCTTGAGGAAAGAGGTAGCTGATAACTTATCTTCCTCTCTGCCATTGAAACAATCCCTTTGTAGGATATTTGAACCCTTGGCAATAGCTCACAAGTTCTCAGTTTCAGCACAGAAGTGGCTCCTTTTTCTGAGTGTTCAAAAAGGCACTGAATGGAGGACCAATATTTTGGCTCTATTGGTAAAGAACGGGACGCAACATGGTTAGAATAACGGGGATACTAGTACTGACATCACAGAGGTTCAGGGGTTTCAAATACGTCTTGGTAAAGAGCTTAGAGCCTCAGGTCAAGAGGTCTGGACGAACCGAGTATTTTGTGGGAATAACAAACCTGCATAGACCAAAAAGGTGATGAGTGCTGCCAGCATGTGGATACGAAGCTTGGTTCCGACCTCCTGGAAGTGCAGCAGGGCACTGTGGAAGATAAAGGAGCAGATGGCCTCTACGACGACGGCTTTGGGCAAGTCGACGTGCATGGGGTTCCTGCAAGCGAAGGTCCTCTCACCGACGTGATACCTGGTCAGTCCCAGGCTCCATAGGGCGCCTATACAGTACCTGCTGCCCAGAGCAGCCATCAGCTGAGCCAACAGCCTCATCGCCCCCGTCTCGGGGGACATTCCCCCCAGCATCATCTGCATCATCACACCGCACGGGTTGCTGGCCGTGCCCACCAGAGTCAGGCCATGCACCAACGAGAAGAAGTAGGTTAGCGTCAGCGACCAGGTGGGGTGCGCGGGTTCCTGCTCGCCCAGCAGCTGCAGCTCAAGGGTGCAGAAGCAGAGCTGGAAGGTGGCCAGAAACTCCAAGACGAAGGTGTGGGCCGTAGGCCGGTGCACGTGCCGCTGGAGGAACCCGCGGGCCAGCGCCACGGACAGCACGACCGACAGCATCAAACCCAGCGAGGTGCAGGTGTCCTGCACCTCGGGCCAGAGCCCCCGCAGCGTCGTCATGGCTCGCTCCCCCAGACTAGGCTGCGGGTCCGCTCGGCAGCAGGCGGTCGGTCTCGGGGCTGGAGTCCGAAGTCTGCGGCCCCGCCCCCTGCTCCGGCCCTCGGGGCGGGCGGACTCTAGACGAGCTGCCCCGCGCGTCACCGGAGGGCTCCTCCCCGCCGAGGTGCTGGGGCTAGAGCTGGAGAGGAAGGGAAGGGAGAGGCGGCGCGGCCCGCTCTGCTAGGGCACTCGGAGGGGTCAAGGGTCATCCCGCACGGCCACGCACACGCCCTGGCCCCTCTCTCCGCGACTGGAGCGGGTGCGAGCGGTTGCAGGGAGCCGGGGACGCCGCGCCGGGACCACTGCGCGTGCGCGTGGCGGCCTGCGCCCCCGCCGGCGCTGGGTGGGATCTCAGCGTTTGGGGCCGGGCGGCTTGCAGGTGCGCCCTCGGGGCGTGGGAAGGTGAGCGACCGCTGTTTTGACAGTTGCTTTGAAGCGAGGAAACTGAGGGTTTTACTACCCGCTCTTAAAACTGTAAAACCGTCAAGCTGGAAAGACACCTAAAGATCATCTTGACCAACCACCTCGTTTTTTATTAATGGGGCGACTGAGCAGACGGGAGGTGACGGAAGTGCAGGGCAGCGGGTGTGTGTGGGGTGGTTATGCGGGAGTGGACTTCGGGGAAGAGCGAACCAGGGTTTGACCTGTGAAGAAGGGCATGCAACGTGATTGTCTCCTTGATAATCGTTAGTTTTCTTCTCCTGCCTCACGGCGTTGGGGGTCAGGGGACCCACCTCATGCATTGGTTTGCAGCACACAGGAGGTGTCCAATAAGTGCGAGCCTGGAGATGAAAGAGCAGGTCTGATGGTGCCCAAGTCTAGTTTCAGTTTTGCAAGATGAGAGTTCTGGAGATGAATGGGGTGATGGTTGCACAATAATGTGAATGTGTTACAGGTGCAAAGTTCGTGCACCCGATGCTTCCAAAGAAAGGCCAGTATTCCAACCATTGGCTGCACATTAGAATCACCTGGGAATCTTTTTAAAATCCTGATTTCTGGGCCTCATCCTCCGGAAATTCTGTTTCTTATGTGGTGGGGCCACAACATTAGTAACAAAAAGAATTTCTGGAGGATGAGGCCCAGAAATCAGGATTTTAAAAAGATTCCCAGGTGATTCTAATGTGCAGCCAAGGTTGAGAACCACTGGTTTAGAGTAAAGAAAGGTTAATTGATTGAGAAGAAATAATCTTCAAACCCATGTTAAGAGGGCCCACAATTCAGACTGTCTTCTCTGACAGGGAAGGGAGGAGAGGCGAGGCAAGAGGTGCGTTTCCTCCCCTCCCTCCCCTCCCCTCCCCTCCCCTCCCCTCCCCAGAGAGCTAGAGGGCTAGGCGCTGAAAAGGACTCAAAGGAGGAGCTGGGCAGCTCTAAATCCCTTTGATCCTGGTCTGTGGTTGAGCCCCTCTGACCTGAGTCCTTGTGGAGACTCCCGTAAATCTTTGATAAACAGTCATTACTTCCCAACCCCTTCAAGAAAGGCCCCTGGGCAAGGGGCTGCTGGGGCAAAAACTCAAGCCTCAAGCAGAATTCCTTTGGTTAATTAGCATATTTGAGGCAGGTGCTATTAATCAGAGGCTCTGAGAAGAATACATTGTAGAATTAAGACCGAGAGAGCATTTCACTCTGTTACAAATGTACTTAACACCACTAAACTGTACACTTAAAAATGGTTAAGATGGTAGTTTTTATGTTATGTGTATTTTACTACAATTTTAAATGTGTTTTTTTTAAGGGATGAGCTAGCAAGTTGAGCAAGACATGGATAAACCTTAAATGTATATTGCTAAATGAAAAATCTGAAAGACTACAAACTATGTGATTCTATTTATAGGATGTTCTAGAAAAGGGAACCATAGAGGCAGAAAGTAGATTAGTAGGGAGTCCATGGGAGAGAAGGGTTGAAAAGATTAAGTAAGCATCGAGGATACTTTATGGTGGTAAAACTATTTTGCATAATACTGTAAGGGTGGATATGGGACACTATGCATTTGTCCAAACCCATAGAACCTTAATGTAGGCAAATTTTAACAAACCATGTAGTCCAATCCCAAACTGGAATAAAGACTGGAACAAAATAATACACCTTGTGTGAACCAACCTCATGGAAGGGGGTGGAAGAAAAGATGCTGATCTATAACTTGGAAATGAGTGGAATCTGTAAAACTAGATGCAGAAGGAACCGTACACCTGTTTCTAGTTGAAAACTTGTATATCCATGGGGGAAAAGGCTAGAATGATCCAGGTGGTAATGAACTAGAGTTGGAGATGTCACTATGACCTCATGTTTAGCTTAATATCGATGCAGGCAGTTACATACAGAAATATTTATAGATGTTTGTGTGTGTCCTATAGTTTATACACACACAGCATTTCCTTACTCTGATACCTGACAGGGCTTAGGAGGTAGGATACCCTGGTAGCAATGAGCACACCTAGTTCCCAGATCTTGGTTTCTTTTCTTTTAAAAAAAAAAAAAATATATATATATATATATATTATTGATTTTTTTACAGAGAGGAAGGGAGAGAGATAGAGAGTTAGACACATCGATGAGAGAGAAACATCAATTCAGCTGCCTCCTGCACATTCCCTACTGGGGATGTGCCTGCAACCAAGGTACATGCCCTTGACTGGAATCGAACCTGGGGCCCTTCAGTCCACAGGCCGACGCTCTATCCACTGAGCCAAACCGGTTGCAGCGGTTCTCAACCTGTGGGTCGCTACCCCGTTGGTGGTCGAACGACCCTTTCACAGGGGTCGCCTAAGACCATCCTGCATATCAGATATTTACATTACGATTTATAACAGTAGCAACATGACAGTTATGAAGAAGCAACAAAAATAATTTTATGGTTGGGTCACAGCATGAGGAACTGTATTTAAAGGGCCAGAAGGTTGAGAACCACTGGGTTAGGGAATTTCTTTTTTTATATAAGAGTTTAGAAAGTCACAGAGGTAGAAAACACAAGTTACAGAGGCTAAAGAAGGGCCCTTGGAGCTTAGGAGAAAGAAAAGCAAAGAAAACCCTCCTGGGGGAAGGTGAGGGGCAAAGACACGGGGCGGGGTGTGCTTGAGAGAGAGAGAGAGAGAGAGAGAGAGAGAGAGAGAGAGAGAGAGAGAGAGAGAGAGAGGCGTTGAATCCTTTGTCTTGAGGGTTTTTATCTCCAGATCTTGGTTATAGCATTCTTTGATAAAAGGAGCCGGGAATGACTGTTTCAATAACTAGGACAGGAAATATGCAAGATAAGCCTGGAGCATCTGGTAGTGCTAGGAAGTCATAAAAAGGAAAATTTAAAAGATGTAGGTATGTCAAAGGGACACAGGAGCCAACCGAAAGAGTTGGCCAAAGCTGGACAATTTGAGGAACAAAATAAAGTGGTATTGGGTTATAACTCAAAGTATAGATTAAAAATCTATGAAGCATACTGATATAGATAAATAATAGAATGAATACCTAAATAAATGGGAGAGAGTATAAAAATGCCCATGCAGGAGAATTTTAAATAATTTACGTGGATCCTCTGTTTTCAAAGAGGCTGAGCATAGCTCCTCGCTTGTTAAGTGTAGTTTCTGCATATTGACTCCTTTCAGAGAGAACAGTGTGGAAAGAGTAACTTTGTTGTGGAGAAACCTGGCAAACATGACCTCACCCAGGTGATCAAGGTTAACATTGAAGTATGGTAGCAATCATCTCAGGTAGAAACTATAGTTTAACTGTAACCCTGCTGTTTGGTTTCTGTACTTATTTGTTTGCTAAAATAATAGAAAAGTTATTTTGATTTTCTGAATTATATAAATTATCCCATTCGATTAAATACCCTATTGATTGTAATGTTAAATCCCTTTTGTTGTGGTCATACTGGTCTTAGAAAGCACATTTTCCTTTACCTGGGAAGGACAGCACGATTATCCCAAGGTCAGAGGGCTCCAGTTAACGTGTCCCTGTGGACTCAGTGTTCCGGAGACCCAAAAACTGTCATTTAGATTAAACCAGGTTCCTCATCCCAGACCCGAGGGCTCTAGATAATGTGTTTCTGTCAATTCAGTGATCCGGAGACCCAAAACTATAATTTAGATAGCATGCTGCTTCTGCTTCTGTAAACTGCTTTTTGCAAACCAGGTTCCTCATTCCAAACCCTGGGATGTAATCAATACCTTTGTGATCTTTGCCTATATAAATCTGGTGTTGGGGCTGGGCGGGCACTGTGAGATTTGGGAGAGCCGAAATGCCCCCTCATAGTCCCGGATTTGCAATAAATCTGTGATTCGCAGGGTACATTACAACAACATCAACAGTGATATCATGTTGGGAGTATGTGCCCTTGATATAATGTAGTGAAAATGGCACTTTTCTTCTGTGGCCTTCCTTCCCAAAACACATAACCAGTCTGATTACAAGAAAAACATCAGACAAATACCAGTTGAGGACATTCTGTACTAGTAAAATACCTGACCAGTACTCCTTGAAATTGTCATGGTCATAAAAAATAAGGGAAGTCTGGCCCTGGCTGGTGTGGCTCAGTTGGTTGGAGTGTTGGCCCATAAACCAAAAGGTCGCAGGTTCGATTTCCTGTCAAGGCACATATCCAGGTTGTGTGTTCAATCCCTGGTTAGGGTGAATACAGGAGGCAACTGGTTGATGTTTCTCACTTCTCTCTCTCTCTCTCTCTCTCTCTCTCTCTCTCTCTCTCTCTTTCCCTCTCCCTCCCTCCCTCCCCCTCCCACCCTTTCACTCTCCCTCTCTTTCTCAAATTATATCCCTATCTATCTATCTATCTGAAGTCTGAGAAACTGGCATAGCCAAGGGGAGCCTAAGGAGATATAATATAGTATCTTGGATGGAATCCTGGGACAGCTAAAGGACTTTAGGTAAAAATTAAGGAAATCTGAAAAAAAAGATGGACTTTAGTTAATATTAACATTGATTCGTTAATTATAACAAGTGTTCCATACTAATGTAAGATGCTAATAATATAAGGGAAATAAAAATAAGGGAAAACTGGATCTGAGATATATAAGAACTCTTGGTACTACATTGCAATTTTTCTGTAAACCTGTAACTTTTGTGTGTTTTTTTATCTATAAGTATTTTAAATTTAAAACGTTTATTAAAATAATAAATAAAATAATATCACACAAAATAAGTTACTCTTAATTTTTTTTTTAATCTTCACCTGAGGATATTTTCCATTGTGTTTTTTGTTCTTTTGTTTTGAGAGCAGAAGAGAGAGGGAAAGACGGAGAGAAATATCGATGTGAGGGAAACACATCGATTGGTTGCCTTTTGCAGGCCCCTGACCAGGGCCCTTGACTGGAATCAAACCCTTAGGTCTGCAGGCCGATGCTCTGTCCACTGAGGAAAACTGACTAGGGCGCTCTTAACTTTTTTAGTAGAATTTGGAGCACCA